TACATATATATGTATATATATATATGTATGTATATATAATGAACAAGTAGATAGATGTACTTTCCACCCATCTCATTTTCAGTGTGCCTGAGGTGTTTACAGCTGCTTGTTCACAGCTCTGTGTAAAGTTTTGCAGGGTCTGTGTCAGGGGGTTAATAAAAACTTTAAAAGCCATTTAAATAAATAAATAAAGCCCACATGAGCTTTTGAAAAAGATTCATATCCTCTCCTCCTGACAAGATGGAGCCATAAAGAGGAGAGAGAGGGCAGATCTCCGGGAACTGTCCAAACATCATTAAACCTCTTCAGATTTATGGGAACGTGACTGACACGAGCTGAAAACTCTGATTTGTACTGAAAGATGATTTTTGTGATTATAGGAAGATTGTTGTGACAAAAACAAAACATTCATTTTTGTATTTAAGGTCCTAATTTCAGGTGGTATTTTTCGGCTCGTACAGTTTAATTTTTTTTTGTTTTTTAAACTTTAATTCAAAATGATGATTATCTTGCTCGCAGCTGATTTCACATTCTGGTTTAAAACAGTAAAATATAAATTTACCTTTACTAATCCAGATTTAGTTTTCTTTTCTTTCTTTCTTTTCTGATTTTTGACGCGTTATTCTGAACGATGAATCGACCAACGGGTTTTATTTGAACGTTTTCTCTGCATCTTTGTGAATAGTTGTCCGTTTATCCTTCGGGCATTTTTCGGGATGACGCATTTGAGTAACTCGGGCACATTTATGTGGGAAAGCAACGAAAAGGCAGATGAAAGTGGTTTCAACTCGACCTAAGGAGGGTTTAATGGTCAGTCCGCATCCTTCAGTCCCAGCGCAAATCAATCAAACTGGTCAGTAATCTGAAAACCTGTTAACCCAATTGTCCCAATCAGCTCCAGGATTAAAGAATCCAGTGAAGATTATCGCATTAAATGCGTCCTAATTTAATTCTGATGCACAAACAGACGTTTTGACAGTCGGAATGATTGTTCATCTCCAGACCGCCGCGCGCACAGCCGCAGCAAGAGGCCTCTGTGTTTGCGCCTCCTCGTCCTGCTCTGCGGCTCCTGCTTTCCTCCCGCACCCAGGAGGGACGCGCAGGCACGCCAGGAAGACATTTCATCTTTAAAACTGCTGCTTGTCACTCCAGAAAGAATCCGCAAAGACGACGCAGCAGATTTTGGCGTTTGCGCCATGTGCGCTCGCACCTTCCAGAGAGAGCTGATCTAAAGTTGCTGCTCTGCTCGCAGCGAGCTCCTTTTTTAATTTTATTAAAACTCTTTTTGTACCCACTCACCATAGCACGGGATGTGCGCTCCGTCGTGTCCTCCGTCCTGCTGCAGTTTGTCCTCCTCCGGGGGCGTTTTGCGCGCAGACCTGTGCGTAAAGAGGTGGTATTTGCTGAAAGAGCCTTGCCCCGCAGCTGCATCCAATGACTGGCACTCCTGCTGGAAGGGGCTCCGGGACCTCTCTCCGTAAGCCTGACCTTTGGTGCTCAGGAAGGGGCTGAATTTGGCGTCGGTGCCTGGAAATGTCCGCAAGTGCGTCTGATGATCCCGACCTGGGCTAAAATACGAATCCATGGATGTCACGTCGTTGTGTGCAACGCAGGTCTCTGCGTTCATGCCTTTAAAAAAAAGAGTGGAGGAGAACTTTTGCCTCCCTCCCTCCCCCCTCCCTCCCCACCAGAGCCTCCTTTGGAAAAGGAAGCGCAGAAACCCCTTCCTCCTTTACCTCATCCAGATGAAAACACACATGCAGACCGCAGCTGGCTTTGGTTAGAAAACGAGTTAGATCTTTTCCAGGAACCACTGTCGTTGACCAAACACTCCAAAAAAAAAAAAAAAAAAACTAAAATCCTCACTCAGGTCTGAGGAGACCAAACCAGTCGAACCCCTCAGAGGAACTGGACCCAGACCCTCCCGGCCTCGCGACCTCTCCCAAGTGATTACGCTGATGACATGAACAAGCTGCTTATGTGCTGGAGGGGTGAAAGGAAAAAAACGAGATGAAAATGACAAAACGGGGGCGTGGGGCTCAGACACATGACATGGATGTGATTCGGGTCTGAATAAAACCCACGGGTGGACGGAACCGGGTCGGAGAGACAGACAGGAGCAGAACTTTCCGCTTCGTTCGTGATGGATCAGCAGCAAATGATCAAAATGTGAAGTTTGATTTAACTGAAACTTATTGTTTATTTAAACCACATGAAACTTAGATGATAAAAATCATGAATGAGATTAAATTATATTTTGGAGCTGCTGGTTAAACACCTGACTGTCAAGAATATATTTAGTTTTGGTTTATTTTCAGAACATTTGTGTTTTGCGCTTTAGTTCTCCTGAACTTCTTCTAAATAATAATAATAAAATAAAATGTGCTGTTTGGGCAGAAAACTGTTCTTCATTTTATATCGGAGCCTAAATTTGAGACTTATGTTTCAGGTTATAAATTATGTTATTTTTTTTAACGTTGTTTTTGTTTGTTTCTTTATGAAATATTCACTCAAATATAATTTAAAAAATGTCAAACTGTTCAAAAGTCATGAGTAAAATGTTTCACACTGTCTGATAAAATCACAGTCTTAAAAAAGACTTTTTAAAAACATTAAGTCCTAACAATTTTTATTTTTATTATTTATGTATATTTTCCATCAGTGTTAATAAAGTTAATTTAATTTAATTTGGTTAAAACCTTCTCCTAATCATTAAAGTGTTTGCTTTCTGTTAAATATTTTAGTAGCTTTTATTTTTATTTTTTACTTTGCAAACTTTTTATTAAAGAAAACTTAAAAGTGATTTTTATTTTTAAATAAAACAGTAGAAACTCTTTAGCAATTTGTGTTTTTTTTGTTGTAATGTGTGTAAATTTAATAAAACACCAGTGAAAAGAAAATTATTGTGTTTGCAAACACAATAATTTTCTGTTAAAATGTTTTTTCTAAACTTTAGTCATGCTTTTGTAAAGTATTTTCTAAAAAATTATAAATCATTTCATGATAGTCATACAGATGTCTGATCATTTTTACAACTGATTTTCATTCATTCTAATCTTTTCTTCTTTGCACAAAATGAAACAGCAAATGAGTTCAGTAAAATTGTTTTTAAAACAAACATTTCATTTCCCTTAAAAATATAAAAAAATATTTTCAAAAACAAATAAAATGTAATTTTAACCAAATTGTATAAGAAGCAGTTTTAGACTAAAACTTACTTTTGGATGATAGTTTAACAAAACATTTAAGTAAAAAAGCGAAGACTAAGAGAGAAACGTGATAAACACGTCGGCAGCTCATACACTGGAAGAAGCTCATGTTTCTGCACATCATCAGAGAAATCAATAAAGGTGATTGATTTCTCTGATCATGTGCACCAAGTTGAACAGAACTTAGAAATAAAATGAACAAAGGCAGAAAATGAAACTCTTTCAGCCCCAAGAAGCTTTAGGCTGCAGCAAAGACATAAACGCATCCACGCAGTCGTGCACACATGGTGGACACATGCACACATGTGTGAGAGACAAAAGAAAGAGGGAGAGAGCGAAAGAGGAGGTGATATTTGCTGCACTTATTTCATTTCAGATTGAGCCCGTGAGACGAGGTGATGTTTTAACTCACGCTCAGCTTCAGCACGAGGAGGTCAAGTTTCTTCTCAGCACTTTGTGTTTCATCTTTCACTCTCGGACACGTTTCTAATTACTGTCAACTCAGTCTCTCCACATGTCAGCAGCATGATTTATGATGGGATTTCAACCTGCAGCTCTAACAAGAACAAACAGGATGTTTATTTAACCTTCTTTATTTTTAAGAGCAAAATGTAAAAAGTCAGAGGGGTTTGAGACACGACGTAGCTCCAGATTATAACTGACCAAAACGTCGTGCTTTGTACAAATGCACACCTGAAACTTTTCATTCACTGAACACAGTTTCAGGTGCTGCAGAGTTAATGTTGGAGTTAATGTTGGGCCGGTCGCAGTGGGAGTGTGACGAACTGCCGTCCTCACTGCTGCTAAATTATTAATGCGACAGTTTTCTGGCTCAGATGTGTGAAGGCCTCCCTCCGACAGAAGGCCCACCTGCAGCGAACAATGGAGCGCTCACACACACACATACACGTATATATGTGTGGTGTGTGCACGCCGTGACACACAGGAACTAATGCTGTTGCATCATGTTTTACCCACATGAACATGAACTGGTGCAGAAAAGAGGAGATCCCCTCTGATGTCAGAGGTTACATTTCAACTTTCTGCTGTGACTTTAAGTTTTCCATCTGCTTTCAACATCAAGGTCAGTGCACGAGGACCCTCGTGTGTTTTATCATATTTTATTGAGCAGTCAAACATGCACGGAAGTGACGAGCTCTGCAGGGTAAACGTGTTTATGAGTATTTGACATTAATAACTGGATGTTTTCATCCAAGAGCTTAAACAAAACATCAGTTGACTCCTTTTCTTTATTCGTGTTGAAGGTTTCATTTCTTATCTGATGAAACATTCAGTTCCAATGATACTCACACACACACACACACACACACACACACACACACACACACACACAC